GCATTTGTGTTTGTGTTTGTGCATGCATGCGTGATGTGTGTATTTGTGTGTGTGTGCGTGTTAAGGCCACCCATCCCCTTCCTATCTTTCCTCCTTTGTTTGTGTCTTAATTTGCTCAGAACATGTCTTTATTTGCTCATGTGCATGTTTGTACATGTGTGTGTGTGTGTTCCTGAGGGTAATGCGCTGTTGTAATTACCAGTTACTGTTCCTTTTCTCTGAACACACAATCTTGATTAAACTCAGTGTTAAATGAAACTGCCGTGCCGTTCTGATCAGGTTGCGACATGAATGAGTGTGTGTGTGTGTGTGTTAATCTCTTGAGTGCTGTAAGCCTGTAAAGACGGATCATTGTGGAACATTGATCTATATGCCGTCTGATTTGATGGCACTCAAGAGTTTCACACACACACACATGCGTTTCACCCAGTATGCTTCTGACAGGTATTGGCAGGTCATAAATGCATTTGATTATAGATGGCGTTTTTTAAGTGTCCGAATAATTAATGCTGCTGGGTTTTACGTATCTGAGCGAGCCGGTCATAATGAAATTGAACCCCGCAGGGAATCATTGATCGCGTCTGTGTCACTAATATACTGGGACTGTTTTAGCCTCGGTGTGGCGGTCAAATAGAAGCTGCTTTTCCAATATATCACGGTGATTTTAAAGGTATAGTACACCCAAAAATGAAACATTCTGTCATGATTTACTCACTGTCATATTTTTTAAATCCTGTATGACTTTTTCTTCTATATATTTGTATTTATGTATATATATGTATGACTTTTTCTTCTATATATATATATATAACCCCTGTATATATATATATATATATATATATATATATATATGTGTGTGTGTGTGTGTGTGTGTTTAAAATTGACTTTTTTTTACCTTTATAGAAGGCATTTTCCCACTAATCTCATTAATACTTTAATTTCAATTTCTTACATTTGATCTATAAATTCAATTCAAAATTCAGATTCAAAAATTGTTCCTTTCTCTTTGGAGTGTTACAAGCTCTTGGTGCATAAAGAAGATCTGTAAAGTTGCAAAGACTAAAGTCTCAAATCCAAAGAGATCTTCTTTATAAAAGTTAAGAGTCAGCCACGCCTACCTAAAACGGCTCGTTCTAACACGCCCCCACATGTCTACCTCACTATGTGGAAAT